ATATATATATATATATATATATATTATAATTNTAGTTGTTAGTGTAGTGTGTGTGTGTGTGTGTGTGTTGTGTGTGTGTGTGTATGTGTGTGTGTGTGTGTGTGTGTGTGTGTGTGTGTGTGTGTGTGTGTGTGTGTGTTGTGTGTGTATACTTATATCAGACATCCTTGCTAGGCTTCTAGTGTCTATATATATAACTCCATCCTGCTGTAACCACGTCTATCTTACTACTCCGTCCTGTTGTAGCCACGTCTATTTTACTGTACTTACGTCTAATATACGCCAGTCTATGTTTGTAATTATGATTACCATTTTAAACATCTAGAAGCACGTGTCTATAAGTACATGCAGGTACCTACATTTCTATCATATATTCCCATGTTAGTGAGCTAGCCATCACATATAAGGTAGTGACTGTATCTCTTTAACACTTATCTGCATGTAAATGTCTCTATACATTCCTATCACCTATTTTGTGACCTGAATGTACTAATAACTTTTTTTTCTGCTTCTACTAGTGCGACTCTCAAATTAGTAAATGACTTGCATTTATCAGCATCCCATCCCCATTTCACACACCCTCGAACATATGCCTAATTTCGTACCCATGTATGTGTATGTGTCAGTAGTAATATATCATCCTACATGTACTATTATATACATAACCCCTCATACATCATATATTCACGCCTTTGTCTACATCATACACTTACGCCATCGTTGACGATCTCATACTTATGTTCCAGCTCCTTCTATACGGACTCCCTTCTAAATCCTTGTATGGTTGTCCAGGGCGTCTCTTCTAATGACTTCTACTGATTGAGGCTGACCGATCGAGCTCTTCTGGTCCTACGGTATCTTGCTGCCCATATGTCCATTCATACTGCAGGTTGATCTTGCTCCCATGTTGTATCATTTATGCCGAATAGTGCTATAAGTAATAATTTGTATTGAGAACCCAATCATCTGTGATTCTTTCTTGGGTATGATGAATTAGTCGTTCTTCCCTTTGTGTAGTGGGTTGATATACTGGGTCTGAATCGCTACTGCTAGCACTACTGCTATCCCCTAGTAATGGCGGCATGTCGCTGTCTGTCTCGCTGCTACTAAATCCACTATCGGCGCTTTGTCGACTTTCATCGTTTGGCATTTCCCTGCTTGTACCTCTTGACATGGTGTCACGCAGGAATCTAAACTGTAATTCCTAATTAAAACTTTCTAATTTGTATTTTGTTTTTCTAATCTATTACTCGCAACTACACTAAGCTAGTCAAAAATGGCTCTGAACAACTATATTTTTGAACGCTCTCCTTGAATAGTCAGGGAGACGTTGCGTTTATATTAGATTATTCAATATATCTAACTGGTACTCTAATGAGTCATGTGTTCAATCTAGAACACAAAACTAGGTTTATCAGATTCTATGATCTGATAAATACAAACTAAGTTTAACAGATCCTATAATCTGCTAAATCTGGTTAAATTAAGTGTTTATTCCTCCTACTATATATATATATATATATA